CCAGCCCAACAGTAATTTTTTTTTTTTTTTTTTTTTGCGGTACGCGGACCTCTCACTGCTGTGGCCTCTCCCGTTGCAGAGCACAGGCTCCGGACGTGCAGGCTCAGCGGCCATAGCTCACGGGCCCAGCCACTCCACAGCATGTGGGATCTTCCCGGACCAGGGCACGAACCCGTGTCCCCTGCATCAGCAGGCGGGCTCTCAACCACTGCGCCACCAGGGAAGCCCCAGCCCAACAGTAATTTTACAGCAGTAACTTGTCTAGAGAAAATCCAGGGAGAGGAACACATGTAACAGATATGCACAGGACACTCATTAGTGGGCACAGTTGATTTCCATCACCTCATGTGTTGGTGTACTCATTAATCTGTTAACGAAATTGTGAAAATCAGCAGGGATCTTTGAGCCTATATGAATGTCAAGCTCCTACAGCATACGTAGGGCCCACACATGCAAACATTCAAGATTTTTCATGGTTATGGAATTTAGCTTCATCTCAGAAGTGTTCTCACATCTGGGAAAAGACAAATTATTCAATAACCAGTATGGAATCAACTGTCTATCTGCTTGAAAAATAAAGCTGGATCACCACCTGACTCCTTTCACCAAAATAAACTGAAAGATGGTACCAAAAAAAAAAAAATCTTCTGTCTTTGCAATAAAAGCACATGCTGTTTTATAAAAAAAAAAAAAAAACCACACAAAAACACATACAAGCATACATATTTATAAATGTGTGTGTGTATTTAACCCCATTAAAGTAGGAAGAAAAAAGAATTTGAATTAATGTTTTTTCAACATCCTGGAATGTGGACCTTTCTAAGCATGGCATAAATCCAGAAGTCACAAAATATGACAAATCGGTTCTTGTAAAAACTTTAAACTTCTCCATGGAAAAAAAGAGAAAAAACGACCTACACTAGCTTAAGGGAAAGCAATAAACTAAACCAAAATATTTATAACATCTAAGACAAAGGGGAATTTTCTTAATATTGGAAAGCTCTTAAATCAATCAGAAAAAGACAAATAACCTAATAGAAAAATGGGCAAAGGTGATAAATAGTTCACAGAAATTAAATACAAATGACCAAAATATAAATGAAAAGATGCTCAAGCTCATTTATAATTGGAGAAATACAAAATAAAAATAAAACAATACTACTTTTTTCACATATCAAATTGACATCAACTAAAAAGTTTATTGGACTCAAGAGCTGGCGAGGGTAGAGAGAAATGGGCATTCTCAAAAACTGCTGGTGGGAGTGCAAACTGGCTCTACCTTCTAAAGAACAACATGGAAATACCTACCAAAACGTAAAATATGGGTACTCTTTGTTTCAGTAGTTCCAAATCCTAGGAATTTATCCTACAAATACATTTCTACAATGTGGAAAGCCATAAGAGACAATGCTGTTGACTGCAGCATTTTTTCTAATACTACTGAAAAACTGGTAACATCTTAAATTTAAAACTGGTCCATCAACAGGTTAAATTAAGTCATACCCATAAAATTAAGTATAATGTAATTATCTAAAAGAAAGAAGTTGACTTGTACACACTGATGTTAGAAAGACGCCCAACACATACTACTAAGTGGGGACAGGGGAAACTAGTTGCAATCCAGTATATATTATGTATGAGAAAATTTCTGGAAGGATACAGAAGAAGCTGTTAACTAGGGAATTGGGGAGATGGGGACTTTTACTTGTTGCTTTATTTCGATACTGCTTGCATTTTTTTTAAAGATCATCTATACCTTCTTAACTAAAGAAAAAAATCAGACACTATTTATTGAAAGGTAGTACTTTCATCTGTGCTCTTACTGTAAGGGAGAAAGGACATAAAAGCGGTTTAAAAAAAAAAACAAGGTTTAGGACCAACAGTTTGGCACAAATGGGACTCCCTCCCCTCACTCACTCCTAAATCCCCTTGGAAACACCATCCCCTGGGATAGAAATCAGAAAGAATATAACCACTATACACCCTCTGCCCCCTTGGACGTAGGGCCCAGTCAAGTGTGGGAATTTGAATTTGGAGCCTGAATTGTCCACCACCAACCAGTTACATCCCACGCCTGCGCAACTGCAAAAATAATCCAAAAAAAGCAAATTACTTACTAAGCTTTAGGTTACATGCATTTTACAATTCTCTTTTGAATACGGACATATATAACATTCCATCTTATTCAACAAGGGTATTCCTACACGGCACAGTGTACACTCGTCCCTCAGTATCCACAGGGTATTGGTTCCAGGACCACTCCCCCCCACCCATAGGATACCAAAGTCTGTGGATGATCCAGTCCCTTATATAAAATGGCATTGTACAGTTTGCCCTCTGTATCCACAGGTTCCGCATCCACGGATCGGGCAGGTGTGGAATCCAAGGATACAAAGGGCCAACTGTACTAAGAAGAAAGCAAGAGTGAAATAAAACATGGTTTCTGTCACCAAGTCATTCAAAATCTGGCACACAACCAACCGGAAGGGAGGCCCAATAGGTTATGTGCTCTAGTAAAGTGCCCAGAGAGATTAACCACACCTGCGGGGATCGGAGACTTCACCAAAGAGACGGCATTTCTTAGAACTGAATTATCAGTAAGAGAACCTAACCTTTCCCCTCTTTTCCACTTACTCAACTCTTTTTCTCTATGTAAAACAGGTAAACTTGACACTATCCTTTCTCTCGTGGCTTAATTCATATCACTAAATACAACACCTCTTTTGTATAAGTTAGTGTTGGGTATACTTTGCAGTATTAAATATATTACTATAAATATCTTAAAGTTTTATTTATTCAGGAGTTGTTCCATCATACCATAAACAACTGAAAGAGCTCAAAAATTTCAACCAATTAGCTTATAAACTACATCTTTCCAACTATTTCTTATACATAGATTTCATTTATTAGTGAAGATCCTTGGTACAGAAAATAAGGTCGCCCTAGAACAATCACGAAAAAAGCCAGCCTAGGATTTTAAGTCTATAATGGAAAGTACACAATAATCTAAGCACAAAAAAACAAAGAACTATTATTATTTTGTCTCTGTGTATTTTTGTTCTTATTCTTTTCACCTAAAACTGATCCAGATGCAGATGGGTATACGCTTCTGCCCTTGTTGGGGGAAAAGAAGGAAAGTGATCTCTAAGTTAAACCTAGAAATTTAAACATTTTTTCTGTAATATTTTACAAAATGAGATCATACCATACATATTTTGTTTATTCAACAGTATATCATGAATATACTTCCATGTCAATGCTTAAAATTCTCATTCTTTTTAGCCACTGCTTAATGCTTCAGACTATGGATAAATAATTTATTAATCCATTACTCTAGGCATTTAGCTTACCTCTAAATTTTTTGCTATTAAAAATAATTCCATGTCGGGTTTCCCTGGTGGTGCAGTAGTTGAGAGTCCGCCTGCCAATGCAGGGGACACGGGTTCGTGCCCCAGTCCGGGAAGATCCCACATGCCGCGGAGCGGCTAGGCTCGTGAGCCATAGCCACTGAGCCTGCACGTCTGCAGCCTGTGCTCCGCAACGGGAGAGGCCACAACAGTGTACCACAAAAACAAAAATAATAATAATTCCAGGGACTTCCCCAGTGGTCCAGTGGTAAAGAATCCACCTTCCAATGCAGGGGACATGGGTTCGATCCCTGGTCGGTGAACTAAGATCTCACATGCCACAGGGCCACTAAGCCACAACTACTGAGCCCACCCTCCTCAACTAATGAGCCTGCATGCCACAAACTACAGAACCCACGTGCTCTGAAGCCCAGGCACCACAACTAGAGAAAACCCGCATGCCACAATGAAGAGCCCACACGCTGCCAACAAAAGATCCCGCATGCCACAGTGAAGATCCTGCGTGCCTCAACTAAGACCCCACGCAGTCAAAAATAAACAAACAAATAAATAAATAAATAATAACTCCAGGGGGTTCCCTGGTGGCCTAGTGCTTAGGATTCAGCGCTTTCACTGCCGTGGCCCAGGTTCAATCCCTGGTCGGGGAACTGCGATCCCGCAAGCTGTGTGGCGCAGCCAAAATTTAAAAAAAAAAAAAAAAAATTCCACAAGGAACACTCTGTTTGAAGGGCATTCAACACATGTGTAGGTATTTCTGTTGGACAGCTTCCTAAAAGTGGATCTGCTGAGTCAAAGGTTTTGAACATTTTATATTTTGGTAAGTATTGCCAAATTGTCCCCCAAGAGAACATAAACAAAAGAGAGGACAATTGTACTCTCTGTAGTTAACCATCTGCTTAAAAAGCAAGAACAAAAAGGAAAAAATCACGTGGAGAAACTGTACATTTTTCTATGTGCAAAAGCAGACCACATCTTGGAGAAAAGATGGGACCACAGTTACAGATACTTACTTTATCCTTCTTAACACCAGAGCCCCTGTGCTGACTAAACTCTCATCTTAACATTACTCAGCCCGTGACCTCCCTCTGGCTTATGTCAAAACCACTTTTCTAGTACACCCTGCCCCCACCCCAGTTCCCAAGCCAATTGTTTTGGGGGGGTGGGAAGGACTCAAGACCTGAAGTGTTGCTGCCATCATCTAACAGCCATGCCAAGCCCCAATAAAACAGAATTACTCCATGCAACGTTCACTTAAATGCTCTACTCTGTTGCTGTTTTAAAGCAGCAAAGGATTAAAATCTTTTAATCAATAATCACTGGCCTACAGGTAGTTTACACGTTTCATTTTGTCCCACAATATTATTACAGTGAGAAGCAAGAGCAGATAAAGGTCATGTTGGTAATTAAAGCTATATTACAGAAATATGCACACCCAAGATATGATTAAATAAGAAAATATTCCTCGGTTCAGTATCATCATTAAACTTGCATTAATTTATAAATATTTAAATGTACCATATGATGATCATAAATAATCTGTTTTTGTCAGTTTCTAAAGTAACGCAACCCATAAACCCTTTGAAAAATTACTGCAGAAAGAAACAGTCAAGAAAGTATACAAGCCAGACTTACATTCAAACGCTGTGGTGGTTGCTTCAGGCAGAACCTGGCCTATCACATCCTAAACAAAGAAGGAATAAAGGAACACAATTAGCCATCTTCTTTATTGCTAACATGTGGCAAATCCTAGAGGAAACAGGAGAACCTGGAAAAGATTTTTGAAATGTTGGCATAAACTATAAAAACATTAGCTCATAATCACACTTAGCCCAGCAATCTAAGTCCAGAGTTTAAATCTCTATTCTGGAGCTTAAATCTCTATACTGGGTGTGGGGACCATTTAAAAAATCCTTTCCACTCTGTACTAATAACATAATTTTTTACTCTCGATTCAACAGCATAGACAATTACACTGTTGTGCATTTATAAAAAAAAAAAATAGGTTTCTTCCATGGGAGGCTATAGAAGGAATGTACTGTTAGTAGAAAAAGAGGTTTGGGGAGTCAAGACTGGCCTGGGTTTGAATCTCAGCTCTGCACTAAACAAGCTGTGTGACTAGCAACAAATTACTCAACCTCTCTGAGCCTCAATTTGATTATCCTCCAATATGGGTCTAATAATGCTTACAGAGGTAATGTAAAAAGTATTAAATAATGTAATAAACATGAACATGAACTAGCCTAACACACTGTAGACCTTCAACAAATGCAGCTCTGGATATGTGACTACCAACACCTTTCCTTGCACTCATACTGGGAAGAGTTCAAAAAACAAGTTTCCATGATGATGATGTAAATCTACAATACTACAATACATTTAACACAAACAATTCTTATCAACCTTTACTCTTGAGCAACTAAAAAACATATTTAATGACACTGAAATAAAGTTAATCTAGCCTACAAAAGTGTATATAACCTGATATCAATGTTTAAATGAATCTATAAAGTTGAAAACACTTAAAAAATAGTCTACAGAGACAGCTTATTTAAAGAGGTACAGAACACCTTCGAGAAATTGTTAGTTCTGGGAAAAGTGACCCTCCATTATGTCCAGTCCAACCCAAATGGTCTGCAAACCTCATTGTTCTCAGGGAGCTCTGCCACAACGTCCCTCCTGGGCCGTGCCACAAATGGCACCAGGCAGCCAGCTGACAAAGCCACTTGCAGTATTTCTCAGCAGGGAGCCCACAGCCCTTCCAAGCAGGGCACTTAGCAGGGTGGCCGCTGCAACTTCCTTCTAAACGCAGTTCTTTAGAAGCTTTTTTTGCTGCAGTGGCAATCTGCATAACAGCCTTGTCTCTACTGTGTATGTGTGTATGTGTGTGTGTGTGTGTGTGTTTTAAATAAATCTGTGCATATAAAATTGATCAAAGGGGGCTTCCCTGGTGGTGCAGTGGTTGAGAGTCCGCCTGCCGATGCAGGGGACACGGGTTCGTGCCCCGGTCCGGAAAGATCCCACGTGCCGCGGAGCGGCTAGGCCCGTGAGCCATAGCCGCTGAGCCTGCGCGTACGGAGCCTGTGCTCCGCAACGGGAGAGGCCACAACAGTGAGAGGCCCGCGTACCGCAAAAAAAAAAAACTGATCAAAGGGAACTATCTTAGGCAGCCCTCACTCATTAGAGCCAAAAGAGATTATTTTTTTCTTCTTACTCTAGTCTTAGCAAATGAAACAACTTTCTGTGGAAGTATTTGTAAAAGATTTTAGTGTTGAAAAAAATCCTTTCTACATATTTGTAGGCAGAAAGTATTTATTGACAGCTAAATGAAAACTGTTGCGCGAGTATAGAATACACAAGCAGCCAGTGTAACGCCTAAGAGTGTGGACGGGAGCCAAACTGCTAGGGTTGGACCTTGGCTCTGCTGTTCAGTCACTGAGTGACTGAATTTCTCTGTGCCTCGGTTTCCTTCTGTGTAAAAATGAGATCATAACTGTACCTACCTTGTAGGACTAATGAGTTAATATTTATAAAGTGCTTACAAGAGTGTCTAGCACATGGTAAGTGCAAGTATTAGTGTCTGTTAAATAAATAAAACAAGTCACTGATGACTGGAACATTACAAATCTTACCTCATAACGAAATCCTAAATTTCAGCACCTGACAATCAGTGGAGGATGGTCTTTGGTTCACTTACTTCATCCTTCCACAGCATTTACTGAGGATTAGCCAGTATTGGTTTAAAAAGGGGTGGGGGTGGGGGGACCCTCCACTGCCCCAACCCTCCAAGTCTAGGTTATCACTGCTTACTTCCAGACAACCAGTCTTGAGATGTGAACCCTAGAGTATTAGCAAACTAATTTAGGATCCTTCCTACTTATGAATAGCAGAACCTGTCAAACAGCAAACTTCTAACAACCATCTGAAAACCCTGCTGAGCAGCAATGGCCTCCTTTGCCCATCAACATAAACAAGGAGCCACACAAACTTTACAACTAATGTGGGGGGGAAAAAAAGAAAGAAAAAGCAAACCTGATTGAGAGAACCATGAGAATCACGTGAACACAACTGACCATCTTGTTCTGTTAAAGCAAATAAAGTGGGGCTATAATAATGACAAAGAGGTAAAACTCAATCAGTATCCCCTGGTCTTTTCTAAGCAGGCACATTTAATTTTATGTGTATTTTCCAGTTGTATTTTAAGTGACTTATTTCAAAATGACCCTGTCTTATTCTCAACATTTTACTCAACCTAAAGAAAGCTTCAAAAGAGCACATAAATTCACATATCTTGTTGGTGATCATTTCTTGATCCTTTTCTTCTCCTTCCTTTCAATAAATCAGTCAAACAAATAGCAAACCAAAAATATAAATGAGCATCTATAACGTGCCAGGAGGATAAAGATTACAAAACTGTAGGCTACAGAAGAATAAGACTTGCTCCTTGACTTTAGGAAGATTATAATCTGTCACAAAGATAGAGACAAACCTAAAAGACTAACAAATCAGAGCACTTATAGTATGATAAAAGAGCCAAACAAAAGACATAAATTAGCAAACGGTAGGTGCTAACTCAGAAGGCAGTAAGAATCACGGTCTCGGTTAAGATAGAAGAAACTTCACAGATGAGGGGAAATCTGGGCTGGAACTTGGGAGAGAGGATTCAAACAGCAAGAGGAAAGGGGGAACATTCAGATCTCCTGCACAATTTTCCCCAAACTGGGGACTGGATTGCCACGGAAGAAGAGAAACACAGAAAGCTGAAAAACAGATAACCCAAATGTCTCTGCCTATGAGGGCCAGCTGGGTCTACTTCACAATGCACCAGTCCCTAACTATTCAGACGAAGGACAAAGGCCCCAGAGAGGCCCAGTGACTTGCCCACAGAGTCCCAGCCATTTGATGGAGTTGTGAATGGAGCCCTCAACTACTGACTCTGAGTCCAAAACGCCCTCAGCTCCAGCTGACTCAGTGACTACAAATTGCTTCTGGCTTCCGTGTCTGGTTCTGCCACAAACCAGCTGTGTGGCTTTAGCATTGTCCCCCATCAGGGGTTCATGCTTCCTCATTTGAAAACTGAAGCGAGGAGAGATATCAGATGAAGGGGAACGTTCCAGGTTTCATTTGGCTTTAAATTTTAAGGTTCCAAGCCAAAGATGCTGATGTGACTGTTGGGTTTTTGCCTATTTCTCAATGAAGAGATAAGGTAAACCTGGAAAAGAGATCTAAGGAGTCCTCCAGGATTTGAGCTTGCAGTTCCAAGAACTTGATATACAGCACCCATTGTCACGAGCCCTCCATGAGGCCTTCCCAACATAACACGCTCCACCTGGGCGTACCTGAGCAAGCACGTGGCACATGGCACTCTGAGCTCTCGATGGTGGAACCGTTTGTGCAAAGTTTATTTTTAGGCCAGTCATCCTTGAGCCAATGTACAATTGAGATGCCCAGGCCCTATCCCTTCTGCTGCAATAACAACACTTACAGAGCACTTACTATGCTCCAGATTGTTGTAAGTACTTTACACATACCAACTCCACTAGTCCTCAGAACTCTGTGAGGTAGGCACTACTTTTATCCCCCCAACCCTATTTTTGTCTTTTTACAGATGAAGAAACTGAGATACAGAAGACACTTGCCCAAGTGAGTCTGGTAAGGCTTACAATGTAAACGCAGTCAGCCTGGCTCCAGTTTGTGTTTTTAACACTGTACCATTCTACTTAAAATAATACCTTCTGTTGTCTCAAATGAGTAAAGTGAAAGAAAGCTCTTGTCTTTCTCATCAGAGACACAATCTCACTTAATCTTTACAAGTCTCTGAGGCAGGTATCATTATCCCTAATTTACAAATAAAGAAACTGAGGCTCAGAGAGGCAGAGTGACGTGCCTAGTTAGTGGGATGGTTTACAATTAAACACAAATTTCTTGATTCAAAACCTAGTGTGCTGTCCACAAAACCATAACGGTGTGCATCCTCTTTGAAGCTCCCTCATTAAATAAATATTTCAGGGTCCTATGAAGCATCAGAAACAGAGAGGAAACAGGTGTCCGTCTCCTCCAGAAGTTTACCATCTCGTGGAGGAGACAGATAAAATTAGCACAAAACCCATATACTTTGCCAAAACAAAGTTGTGGAAACACAGAGGAGGGGCATGTGACCAAGACCAACACAGAGGAAAAGACAAGCTGGGCTTTGAAGGACAGGTGGGAGTTGGCGAGCTGAAGAAAGAGGCCCAGTGAAGAAGGCCTGGGCACCTGGGAGAACTCACGGTTAATTCTATATATCTGGAAGACAGGATGCTCATGGGAGTGTAGTGAGAGATGAAGCTGGTGCCAGGCAGGTACAAGCCAATCAAGATGGGCCCAGAGGGGGGCCTTCCCTGGTGGCGCAGTGGTTGAGAGTCCGCCTGCCGATGCGGGGGACGCGGGTTCGTGCCCCGGTTCGGGAGGATCCCACATGCCGCGGCGCGGCTGGGCCCGTGAGCCATGGCCGCTGGGCCTGTGCGTCCGGAGCCTGCGCTCCGCAGGGGGAGAGGCCACAGCAGTGAGAGGCCCGCATACCGCAAAAAAAAAAAAAAAAAAAAAGATGGGCCCAGAGGGGCTTCCCTGGTGACGCAGTGGTTAAGAATCCATCTGCCAACGCAGGTGACACGGGTTCGAGCCCTGGTCCGGGAAGATCCCACCTGCTGCGGATCAACTAAGGCCGTGAGCCACAACTACTGAGCCTGCGCTCTACAGCCCACGAGCCACAACTACTGAAGCCTGCACGCCTACACCCCGTGCTCTGCAACAAGAGAAGTCACCACAATGAGAAGCCCATGCATTGCAACGAAGTGTAGCCCCCGCTCACAGCAACTAGAGAAAGCCCACGTGCAGCAACAAAGATCCAACTCAGCCAAAAATAAATAAATAAATTTATTTAAAAAAAAAATATATATATATATACATATACATATATATATATGTGCCCAGAGGACCACGCCAAGGAGTTTGGGCCTTACCATGAAGGGAGATCCATGTGCATGTGAGCGTGTGGAGAACTCTGGATGCAAAGAGAAGGATGGCATATGTGTACAAGATTGGAGGTGGCTGGTTTACTCCAGCTTCTGCACTCCTTGTGCAGACACCTGAAGATCTGTATGTTCTAGGTGGTCAGTAACATCCAGAAGTCAAAATAATGGTACACAGATCAAATTTTGATTGAGTAACCTATGACAATCAAAAACCACATCCCAGATCTTCCTCTTCCCCCAAACCTCCACCCAGCCCCATCTTATCCTGCAGGTAAGTTCCACTATAGATCTGGTACTTGCAACATGCTCCTTGGTATGTCAGCTCTGCCTTTGATAGCACAGTTATTCAAAATATAAAATGGGCACGAGGTACTCTATCTCACATGAATACTAAAAGCTGAGAAGTAGTACTACAGCATGCGGAAATAAATACCAAGTAAAGTAAGGAAATCTGAGTTCTGGCACTGACTCTCCCACTCACAAGTAACATGGCTTTGGAAAAGCCGTTTCACCTCACTGCTCCTCAGTAACATCTGCAAAAAAGATCAGAGGTCTCAGCAGGCCACCTCCAAGGCTATCCTCTGCTCTAACATTCCATGATTTTATTTGAAATATATTTTGAATATTTATTATGGAAGTAAGACTACACCATTGACTCTAAGATGCACATTTTCCCCTCTATTTTAACATCTCTGAAATTGGGTTTTGTACGATGTGTGGCATGTCACAGTTTAACAGGTCGCATTTTTTTTTTCTTTCTTAGCGGTACATAAAATAATATCTTAAAACTTATGATGTCTTAGGCTTGCTGAAACATGATTGGTTAGAGTTGCCTTGTTTCCCTTTCCCACTAGCTACCAAGTTTAGAGAACTCAGTAGAAAGACAGGCTGGAGTTTGGCCAGGGACATTCCAAAAAATCCTTGAGAAAAACTCTCTTCTAGATTCAGCTTTTTGTATCCCAGTTGGTTGCTTCTGTATGTTACGTCCCAGTCCAGGCTGTAAGAGTTCCTTGAGGGCAGGGGTCCAATCTGATTCATCTCTACTTCCCCAGGAACTTGCACACTTGTCAGATTTCAGTCTATACAATTAATCAGTGCTTGTGGTGGAAGAAATAAAACTGCCCCCATACGAGGCCAGCAATGGCCACTAGCTCAGGCCAACAGGGTAAGATTTGGTGATCAAGGTGCTTACTGCCCTACAAATCCCTGCGCCCCCCTCGCTAGGGACACTGAGATTAGCACTTACCAGCACATCCCTGAAGAGTAGCTGCGGCTCAGAGTGCACTGTCCAGTCCACGGCTCCACTATTTGGAATCTTGATGCGAATCACCAGCACCTGGTTCTCCATGGCATGGAAGGGGCCAAGGGCCAGCCACAACATTACAGGTTAAAGGGGCTCACATCCTGGTAGGGGGGAACCCCCTGGCTCCTGGTTAGGCGGGGGCTCTTAGAGGTGACAAGGGGACTGAGGGTCAGAGGACAGAGGGGGAGGGGGAGTGAAGAGAGGAGGTGGTCCGGAAGCAGCCCGCAGGCTCGGAGCCAGGCCCAGGCTGTATGGGGTTGAGGGATGTCTCCCTGTGAGAGTGGACGGAGCAAGGGGCAGGAGCCAGTAGGAACTAGCGGAGATCAGAAGGTTCTGTAGTTGGAAAAGAGAGCAAACGGCATCTTGCAGCTCTCTGCCGTCCGTGTGGGTGTGAGGGGACAGCACAGAGAAGACGCCGTTTTAGAGAGATACGGCGGCAGGTGTCCACTCCTCCTTAAAGGAGCGGGGAGGGTCCCCGACTTGAGGGGACTCAGTCCGGGGCTGTTAGGAAGGAGCCCCAGGGCCGCCGGACCACAAGAAAGCCGAGAGGGCCCTCCGCGGGAGAGTCGGGGTCGAGTCCTCTGCCCCACCCCGAGCCAGAGTGCACGGCGCGCGCGACTCAGAACCTGCAACCCGAGGCCGCGCGTCCCGGCGGCGGCGGCGGCGTCGGCGGCGGCGGCAGGAGAGGGAAGGCGGCGGTAGGAGGGGGAAGGCGGCGGCAGCAGGGAGACGGCGGCGGCGAGGGCACTGTTACTCCGGAACCAAAACGCGCGGCGCCGGAACCCTGGAAGCCGGCGAGGGGACCCGCCTCCCGCGGCGCCATGTTGGAAGAGGGCAGCTCGTGGCCGGCCCCGCCCCCGCTCGCCGGTGGGCGGGACCCGAGGAGCAAGGGCTTGGCGCCGGGGTCGGAGTGAGGGGACGGACTGGAGTATTCGGTCGTGAGACCCCACCTCCCCTGTCGCGAAGTGACCACCCATGGCGACCGGGTGACAGCCATTTCTTTTCCCGACCCTCATTAAAGTCAGCGAGGTGAAAACATTTAACGAAAGAAGGAGGAAACTGAACTAGAGCAGGGGTCCGCCAAAAGCCGATTGACGGCTTAAGGTGCGTTGTTTCCCTGTTCAGAAGACTAGAAAAATAGAACTGCCCCTCTCGTTTATTCCTACTTTATCAGGCCCTGTACCTAAATATTCGTGGAGGTTTGTGCATCAAATGATCAAGAGCAAGGTTGTCTTTTTTTCCTTCTTCCAAGTCACAGATCCGGAGGATCATCTTTCTCCCAAATGAGCAAAGCGAGTGTGGATTTTTCAGTGAGGTCCTTTACCCCTATGGTTACCCTAAAATAGCAAACAGCGCACTATTCAAAAGCAACAGTAAAGAAATTCAGTGAAGAGTTTAACTGCCTGGGTACAGTTGCAGTAGTGGCATCATCTTTTCTTATTAAACCTTTGAAAAAAAAATATCCTAGACAGTCCATAAACTTTCAACTAGATAGCAATGTTTACGCAGTGATATCACAGGCAGTAGCAATAACCCTTGGTTATTTTTAAATGCCTTGTTAACCTCAGATTTTTAAATGCATAATTTTGTTCATCTATGATGCCTATACAGAAGTTTGTTTACAAACTGCAACGCGTAGTTTCGTCCTTTACCTCTAAGAAAAGTCCACATATCGCTCTACTTTGAGAGGCTGAATTTTGTATAAATTCGGTGGGAGAGGAGTGTCATTCCCCTCTCTAACAAATAGTTGATGAATGCGAGAGAAAAAATAATTTAAATACTGGTCAGTTTTGGTATAATATCAGTTTTTTACTGCATATTTTCTCTACCTGCATTCCTTTTTTCTTTTGGTAGTATTTGTTTTATTTAGTTATTTATTTATTATTGATTTATTTATGGCTGCGTGGGTCTTCGTTGCTGCGCCCAGGCTTTCTCTAGTGCCGCTCGTTGTGGTGTGCGGGCTTCTCCTCCGCGGCACGTAGGATCTTCCCCGACCAGGGCTCAAACCTGTGTCCCCTGCATTGTCAGGTGGATTCTTAACCACTGCACCACCAGGGAAGTCCCTACATTCCTTTTATATTTAATTTGAAAGTCCATTGTAGAAGATAAATTATCTCTTTTCAGTTATTGTAAATGAAGAGCTTAGGTAGAAATTCATTTAGTCAGATCCTCCAGGTAGTCAAAGAATTGCCCTTTTCCACCTGCACTTCAGTCTTGTGAAAAACAAACCATTTGTTCAAGGTCCCCATGCACTTTTTATTGAAAGTTCATTTCCTATTATTTGAGAAAATAGACCACAAAGCCAGAGATTTTCTATGAACTCATGATTTGTTAAAATGGTTTTTATTGATAGTACTATGGGCAAAACCAACTCAATTTGTACTTTCAATTCTTTTGGATATATACCCACAAGTAGAATTGCTGGATCATATGATAATTCTATTTTTAATTTTTTGAGGAGCTGCCATGTTCCACAATGGCTGCACCATTTTACATTCCCACCAGTAGCCCAAGAGTTCCAGTTTCTCTACACCTTCACCAACACTTGTTATTTTCTATATTTTTGTTAGAAGCCATATTCTCATGAGTATGAGGTGATATCTCAAAGTGGTTGAAATTTGCATTTCCCTAGTGATTAGTGATGTTCATCTTTTCATATACTTGTTGGCCATTTGTATATCTTCTTTGGAGAATTGTCTATTCAAGTCCTTTGCCCGTTTTTAAATTGGCTTATTTATCTTTTTTGTTATAAAGTAATTTTTAAATGAGGAAAATTAACATTTTACTACTATAAGTTCAGAGATGTTTTCTTTCATATCTTTTTACATTGCTCCCAAACTCCAATCCTTAACCAAGAATCTGATCCCTTCCCACTGCTTCTCAGATACTATCCCAGTCCAAACTACCATTACATTTATATTATATTTCTCTCTTAAAGTTCTGTTTCCATTCTTGCCACTGCTACCAATGGTCTATGCTCAACCCAATTACCAGGGTTAGAATACCAAGTCACCCCTTTGGTTAAAACTATTCTGATGGCCTCCTAACTTGTACAGAATAAAAACTAAAGTCCTTTCCTTGACCTGCAAAACTCTACACAGTCTGCCCTCCACACCTTCTGGCCTTATGATCTCTCAAACATCATTCACACCAGCCTCCTTCTTACTTTTCCTTGAACATATCAGGCATCCCACCTCGGGGTCTTGCATTTGCCCTTTCCTCTACCTGGATTGCTCTTATCCCAATATTCACATGGCTCACTTCCTCCTGCAGATCTTGACTTAAAAACCACCTTCGTGGGCTTCCCTGGTGGCGCAGTGGTTGAGAGTCCGCCTGCCAATGCAGGGGACATGGGTTCGTGCCCCGGTCCGGGAAGATCCCACATGCCGCGGAGCGGCTGGGCCCGTGAGCCATGGCCGCTGGGCCTGCGCGTCCGGAGCCTGTGCTCTGCAACGGGAGAGGCCACAACGGTGAGAGGCCCGCGTACAGCAAACAAACAAACAAACAACAACAACAACAACAAAAAAAACCACCTTCGTGTTGAAGCCTTCCCTTAGCACAGTCTTGAAAAACAGCCCCAAACCCACCCCACCCACAGATGCGAGCACGCAGGTGTGCACAATTCCTGGTCCCCTTCCCTGGCTTACTTTTCTCCTGGCCCTCACCACTATCTACCATGCCACATGTCTCAATCCTGTATTTGTCTCCTCACTGAACTGTAACTTGGCGAGGGAGGGACCGGTATGTGTTTTATTCACTGCCATGTCCCTAGTACCTAAAATTGTACCTGACACACAGTGGGCACTTTAATAATATTTGTTAAATGAATGACTGGATTTTGAAGGCAAAGTGGGTTGAGTAATAGGAATGCAACTACAATGTGCATCTCCTGCCTGTCTTGAGCCGCAGTTGCTCCTTGGCCTTTCCACAACCACTGCCATCGTGGCGACTGAGACCACAACAATTATAGACTCCCACTGAACCACAAACTTTATAACAAATGTTGACTGCCTCCTGTGTTCAAAAATTCCACTTGTCTTCAGTGCTGGGTGTGGGTCCCTACATACATCATTCAAATACTTGTTGATTTGGGGGTTTTTGTTTTTTGTTTCTTTCTTTCTCTTTGGCCACACCACGTGGCTTGAGGGATCTTAGTCCCCCAACCGGGGATTGAACCCGGGCCCCAGCAGTGAAAGTGCCAAGTCCTAACCACTGGACCACCAGGGAATTCCCAATACTTGTTGATTTTGATTTAAAGGAATATGATGAGAATAGAGGATGAAAACAGTAAGTTTCTAGTGGAGAAATCTTGCAGACACCATCCTAACCAAGTGATCAAGGTTAACATCACCAGTGATGTGATGTTGATGTCATGTACTCTCCTATATGATGCAACAAGAAGGGCATTTGACCTGTGGGGTCTTCTTCCCCAAACCCATAACCCCAATCTAATCATGAGAAAACCATCAGACAAACACAAATTGAGGGACAGTCTACAAAATACCTGACAAATACTCCTCAAAACTGCCAAGGTCATAAAAAACAAAATGCAAAGAAACTATCACAGACCTGAGGAGACTAAGGAGACATGACGATTAAATGTATTGTGGGATCCTCAGTGGAATCCTGGAACAGAAAAAGGACAGTAATGAAAAACCGGTGAAATCTGAATAAAGTCTGGAGTTTAGTTAGTAGTAATGTACCAATGCTGACTTTTCAGTTTTGACATAGGTGCAATGATTATGTAAAATGCTAACATTAGGGGAATCTGGGTGATGGGAACTCTCTGTACTATATTTGCAACTTTTCTGTAAATCTAAAGTTATTCCAAAATAAAAAGTTTTTTTAAAAAATAAGTTGCATTTGTACACACTTGTAATAATGTCTTAGAAATTTTAATTTGAAAAATATATAATTTATTGTTATTACAATAACAACTGAAAAATAAACATAAGCATTTTCTTCATAGTGCTTAATATCCATTAGTTTAAAAAAAGGATATGAAGAAGCATGGACAAAAGTGGTGGGACTTACCTGGTGGCGCCGTGGTTAAGAATCGGCTTGCTAATGCAGGGGACAGGGGTTCGAGCCCTGCTCCAGGAAAATCCCACATGCCCCGGAGCAAGTAAGGCCGTGCGCCACAACTACTGAGCCTGCGCTCTAGAGCCCACAAACCACAACTACTGAGCCCAAGTGCTGCAACTACTGAAGCCCGCCTGCCTAGAGCCCATGCTCTTCAACAAGAGAAGCCACCACAACAAGAAGCCCGTGCACCGCAACGAAGAATAGCCCCCGCTCGCCGCAACTAGAGAAAGCCCGCGCGCAGCAACGAAGACCCAACACAGCCAAAAATAAATAAATAAAATAAATAAATTTTTTTAAAAATTAAAAAAAAAAGTGGTAAGAGACAAACCCTTGAAAGTGTGATGGGAAAGTCTGCTCTTTTGTTTTGTGGCAGGAATGGAAAAGAACAGTGGGAGCAATTCCAGCACTCATGCAGAAGCAGAAGCAACAGTTCAACAGATATTCATAGAGCGCCAAGTATGTGCTATGGATTTTAGATGCTGTAACATGAATTAATTTATTAACTTATGATGTCATTGGATTTAATTTCTACGTAATACATTTTCCCTCAGGTAGAGTAGGCTGGTGCTCCAACAAATCACTTAAGCTTTATTTCCCTTTTTTGATGGTTTAAACATATCTGTATTCTT